CTAGACTGGACAAACAGCTAGGGAGAAAAGGAATGCTAATATAGCTAGCAGGAGCCAGCGCTGCTGCTTTTGATGACGCAGCAACGCTAAGGCTTAAACTCACCGGCTGAACGAAAAGGCATGCAGAACACGGTGGTTGTGTCGGTAGCCAGTGGTGCCTGCGTTGTCTACACACCTTGTTTCCTACTGTCTGCCCATGATCGCTCTCTCTTCTAAGCTCAGCGTGTCTGACTGACGTTAAACACTGATGTTTGAAATCCAAACTTCAGTCCTCTGTGCTGTTGCACACAGGCAGCCCTTGGGTGGGAAACGCGTGCTTCTGTTGATGTAAATGTGCCTCAGTGTATTAAAATGTCTTCTGCAGACAGTGAGCCACTGATCCTCCTTTGTCCGCTGTGGGTGTAACTGTTTTTCCTAGAGGTTGGGCTGTGGGTGCCCAAAGTCACCTGTTCCCCTTTCCATTTCCCACTGTGGGGACCGCCCTGGACCAGTGACAAGCTGGTATTACAAATGATGTTCTAGAACAGTGGAGTGCAGCACACTTTAAATGATGCACAAATACAAAAACTAGAAGCCTGACCCCTGTAGCACTCACACCTAATGGAGCACAGCCCAGAATTCCAGATTTTGCCCTTCACTCTGACCTTGTCCATGACAGCCCATGCACCTCTTTTCTTCAGTACTGTGACTTACTACCCTGCAGCATCTTCGTCCTGTCCCACTCCATACACCAGAACAGCAGGTGGATGTTTCAAACCTGGGACACAAGAGTCACAGGCAGCTCTGGATCCTTGTCGCTGGAAGAGGCCTCCTCTTAGGCCCACAGAAGCTTAGCAGCCAGTAGACCAGCTGGTTCCCTGGGCTTGTGAAATCCACAGGCTCTTGCAAATCATGCGGGCTCTCAAGCCCTGCATGCCAAGTGCCCTGTTGTCCAGGCCATGTCAAGTGCCCTGTTTTGTTCTCTGTAGCCAACTGAGCACACGGTAAGACCTACAACTCCTGATTCTGAAGAGCGCCAGCCTTAAGTACGTGACCTCATTTTTTTGTGGATTGCTTTGGCCCTTCCATCGCCCCCTTCCTGCTCGTAGCTGGTGTCCCTTTTATGATGGCCTGATGGTAGCACAGCTGATTCCAGAAAGTTCTTTGATACCAGAGAGACCTTTTCATGCCTGTGCAGTACTCTCATCCCCCCACTGGTCAGATGTGACTCAGCCCCGAACAGCTCTAGCCCAGAGAGGTGTGAAAGTCACTATGTCTATTTCCCTAACAGTTTTTTAAAGATTATTTATTTATTTATTCATGAGAGACAGAGAGACAGACAGACAGACGCAAGCAGAGGGAGAAGCAGGCTCCACACAGGGAGCCCGACATGGGACTCGATCCCGGGACCCCAGGATCACGCCTTGGGCTGAAGGTGGTGCTAGACCACTGAGTCACCCAGGGATCCCCTTCCCTAACATTTTTTTAAAAAGATTTTATTTATTTATTCATGTGAGACATGCACGGGGGGGGGGGGGGGGTGCACAGACACAGGCAGAGGGAGAAGCAGGCTCCATGCAGGGAGCCCGACGTGGGACTCAATCCCGGGTCTCCAGGATCACATCCTGGGCTGCAGGCGGCACCAAACTGCTAAGCCACCCAGGCTGCCCTTAACATTTTTTAAAAACTGCTTCATCTCTTCTAAGTCCTGCAACATGAATTCAGTTGATCCTAAGCTTTGCCCAGGCCCTTTAAACCCACTCTAATCCTAAGCAGTGCGCAGCTGCTGCCTTGGTCAGTGATGACAAAAAAACAAACAAAAGAAAGAAACCCTTTCAGGATCTATACCTGACTCACCCAGACTCTACCTCAAACGGTGACCTGTTTTACATGAGAGGATCCCCAGGAAAAACTCTGATCATGCTAAGTTCCAATAATGATCATCTAACTCTATGGCCCAGACAAAAACTCCACCTCAACCAAGACGACAGAAATCCCCCAAATGTTGTCAGGAAACCTCTTGTTCTCATCATATCTGCCCCCCCCCCATATTAACCACGTCCATCTTATTATGCAATTTTAATACCGCAGGTGAAATGGCACGCCGCGCACAGAAGAAGGCTAGGGACAACATCCGTAATTTCATAGTTATTTTAATAACCAGGTGTACATTAACAGTCACTTGATGAACTTTTCCTTAATCTCAGCTAAACTCAAAACACAGTTTTCTTCACGGTTCAAACCAAACAGCTCTTCACGTTCCAGAGCTGCCTCACAGCTACCACAGATCACAGGGAGATTTACGGTCTGTTCATATTCACCGGACACAGAACGGAACACCCACACACCGTTTTCCAAAGAGGGAACTTTTACAATGAATGCTGGCTGCCTGGGACAGCCCATGGGTATATATCTGGGACTCCAGCTGGATTTTTCCAGGCGGGGGAAGGCCCGGGAAGCTTGTGGCTAGAACCAAAGTCGGGGCTCATCCACCCTGTGAGGAAGGGCTTCACAGGGTGAGTGCAAGTAAGGCCTTTGCAGCAGAGCATGACTCTCTGCGTGTAGGTGTGAAGAAAAAGGCCAAAGGGTGACCGGTCTCTGAAGAAACCCCTTTTTTGGGAGGACTCCAACACTGCCGTTTTTAGAAAACATAGAAATAGAAATACCTCTACGGGGTGAGGTTGGCTGGTCTAACAATTCCACGAATACCTTCTCAACTACCCAAGATTATGGCCCTCCCAGAGCGAACCCCAGTGGACTGCTATCTGGGTAAGGAATAATGTGAGAAGGTGGGGGGCAGCTGGGGGACCCTCAGAGGAGGGCCAGGCCAAGAGACGAGAGGGCCACAGAAAGCTTGGGCAGGAGATGAAGGTCCAGCATGCCCTCCCACACTTGGATGAGATGCCGTGAATCCCGAGAGAGCTGTGGCTTGCGTCATGGTCTCTTCCTAAACCCCGTGTGTAGGGAGGGCTCTTTGATGTGTGCCTTGTGGAACAGGACACATTCGAATATAAACTTTAACTCCAGTAACAAGGTACGAGAAACCAAAGTCAAGGAAAGAGAGGGATTTTTCTTGAAATTCTTAGGAATCTCTGTGCTTGGGAAATTACTTCTAGTCAGTGAAGAAAGGGAGGCTTTCCCAAACCTTGTTGCCCATCATGAGGGCGTTAGCGTGGAGAGCTTGTGTAGGCTATCAAGTTCGGGGGGAATGAACGCTTCGTTCAGCAGCCCCGGTGCAGTGCAGCTGACCAGCCTGGCCACGAAAGATTTATTGTCATGGCACAGAGAGGTCATGGAGGGAGGAGCTGGACTCTGGGTACCAGGAGCCCAGGGTCCACAAGAGGACGCACCCTCTAGTTGATTTCTTCCCTCCACCCGGTGGCCGTGGCTGGTACTGCAACACGCCCCGCAGAACAGCCCGGCCCGGAGGCCCGGAGGCCCGGAGGCATTTCGTGTACTTGCTTCAGGTCGGACAATCTCCCTCTGCCTGCAAACCCGTCATTCATTCTGAGTTCTGCGACAGGCCAGCAAATCTATGAGTCACAAATCAAGAGCTACGTGCCCCCCTCCCTTAAGTTTCCTTTAAAATAAAGGCACCATGAACAAGCCTTAGAATTCTGTTCACCACCAGAACAGTGCTTAGCTGGCTGGGGGGACATCCTCCTCGCTGGCTCTTTCCAAATCCCTTTTTAGCCACACTGTTCCCCTCTCTCTGGTCTTCAGCTAGAGAAGTGCCATCAGAGAAGCAGCTTCTCCTGAGCACCTGAAAGGTGTCCGAGGCCCGCTCTTTTTCTTTCAAGTCCCTAGTACGCAGGCTTAGGGGGTCCTGCCAGCTGCATCCCACAAGCACAGGTATCTGATCCCAGGGCAACTATGCTCTCTCTGCCCCCGGGCCCCCTAGTTCTACAGATCCTCATCTGGCTCACATTGAACTTTCAGAAGCGGCAGGATGGGGAGATGGACACTAAGCTCCACTTTGTTATGTGCCACATCCCACAAGGCTGCACGTCACTTCCACCACCCTGGGGGGCTGCAGGAAGACACCAAAAGCTCCCCCGGAGGATGTGCTGAAGGAAGGGCAGACAGTTAGTTGAGGGCTGAAAAGCAGACCCATGGTACCAGAATGTACCCCACCCCCAGCCCCACAGACTGGCTTTCCCAAATCCTTGCTTGGCTCCCACCTCAACCGAGACCACCTGTTCGCAGCGAAACTCCTAGAACACCTAAGCACATACATTTTCAAACCCCAAATCCTATCCAATCACAGATGTGCCTGGAACTCGAGATGGAAAGACTCGGCCACTCACCGCCAGCAAGAGCAGCCCTTCCTGGGAGTCCCCCTCGGCTTGTCCTAACTCAGGATGCCGGACTCACACTGCTCTCCCGGGTGGGCAAGGCCACGAGCACGTGAGGTGATGATCTCCAACACGTGTTTAGAGGAAGGCATGTGAGCGCGGCTGCCCCGCCCTGAGGGCCTGCGTGTGCTCCCAGCTGCTGCCTTTTAAAGAGCACCAGAGAGGCAGGCAGGACAGAGAGGGAGGAGAGTTTCCTCCTCTCTTCCTTCCCGGCCCAGGAAAGAGGAGAATTTGAAAGCAACACTGAGAAAGAGGCCCTACGAAACACCGGCACGATCGAGAAGGTGAAGGTGATGGTTTGGGTTTTGGTGTTTTAATAAAATGTTCAAAGGAATAAAATCTAGGAGGGGATGTGACAAAGTCTGGAACCTGAAGACTGCCTGCCTTCTCCGCAGACCCCTGGAGACCGTGAGGAAGGGACGGGCGGCCCCAAGTAGCCATCATCCATGGAAATAAACGTGCTTCAACACAACACACAAGCCCCCTTATGCTCACCCACCCGCCCGCCTCCCCGTACACACCCTACCCCAGCCCCTCGGAGCCTTCCGCCTTGCTCTGGGCTCCCACCACCCCCTCACCACCAATACCCACGTCCCTTTTGTTGATTTTCCTGACATCCCAGCTTTGTCTGTCCCCTTGTCATAAAATGCAGCACTACACACGCGCTCAACACTATATAGCAGACGCTTTTACCTTAGTAGCCTGTCTGATTGCATGCATGGAAATGGGGGGAGGGGGTCAAACAAATCAAGGCTATGCATAAACAGAAAACAAAGCAATATTCGTAAAGCTAGGCAAGCGAGTGTAGCATTGGAGAAACATAAGGCTTGAGGCTTATTGATTCTTTAGATCGCAACTGTTTGGATTCGCTTTCCTTCTTAAATATTGGTGTACCATTTTGGCTTCAAGAAAATCTCTTCTTGCTTCTGCCCCTCTCTTTGGGGAGGGGTCGCTTAACTCAGGGACGTGATGTTAGAGCGGCCTCCAGGGGGTGCCACGATGCGCTTGCTGGCCGAGCGGACCCCCTCATCCACTTGGGTGCCTTCGGTTGGCAACACATCCCCAGGAAGGAAAAAAGGGAGGGGGGGTGTGGAAAAGAGAGAAATTCGATTAGTTTTCAGAGTGTCAGATGGCAGGCACCCTCCTGGCCTCATCTCCCGAGAAATTTCCATTCCAGTCTATCAAACATTCTAGGTGTATCATATCCATCCTCCTGAATGCCTATCTCCAGCAGAGAAAAAAAAAAAAAAAAACGAGGACCACAGAAATGCAAACCTACAGTTACTTTTCCCCATCGTAAGACTACAGGCTACGGGGCAACTAGACAATTATTTTCTATGAATATTAGTTCTTAAAGCATCAACCAGGCTAGCCCAGCAGAGCATTTACTCAACAGCGGCTCTAACAGAGGTGCACAACACCACGCACAGCTCCCACGGTCACCCGCGGAGAATCACCACCAATTCATCATGGGAGTCATCGCACCCCACCCCACCAGGTGTGACCTCTAAGCAGAAATGGTCATCATTTAAGCCTGATCTTTGGGGCACCTATGGCTCTGCCGGTTGAGCATCTGCCTTTGGCTGGGGTCTTGGGATCCAGCCCCGCACTGGGCTCCCTGCTCGGCGGGGACCCTGCTTCTCCCTTCTCCCTCTGCTTGTGCGCGCTCTCTCTCTCTCTCTCTCTTTCTCAAATAAATAAAATCTTAAAGGAAAAAACAAAACAAAACAAAAACCTGAACTTTAACCTCTTCGAAACTTATCTTGCTTTCTCATCGGGACTCCTTTTTGAGTCAGCAAAGTTTCCTGCTGACCCCAGTCACCACCTTCCAGAAGGTGTTGGGGGGGGGGGGCTGGTTCCCAGGTGGCCAGCCAGCTCAGAGCACTCCCGGCTCCTCCCCACCTACCCCCTCCCTCCCCCGCACCCCCCTCACCCCTCCACCAGGCCCTTCTCACAGAAGGGCACCTGGCGCTTCGCCCACTCACCAGACAGGCTGAATCCCGACTGATGAAGGTTCCTCACGGGCGGGTTGGGCCGCGTGGGGGAGCCCCGGGTGGAGCCCGCGGGGGTGCCCCCTTTGGGTGTGGTGGTCAGGTCAAACACCGGCCCGTCGTACAGGCCCCTGGGGACCGCATGCAGGTCTGCCATCTGCAACAGAGAAAGGGGTCACCCCAGAGTCTGTCAACGCGTAAGGTCCCTTCTAGCTAAGTCGGGGAATCCAGGGTGCAGTGGGAGCCAGGAAATAAGACAAATAGTAGGGTGCCCTAAGGGAAGGAGAAGGAGAAAACAGAGGGTGTGGAGACAGAGCGACGGTACAGAGGTCGGCAAGGACTTCTCTAAATAGGTGAGCTTTGCTCTTCAGGAGCAAAGGGACCTGTTGTGGGGGGACACTGAGGAAGGAGGAGGAGAGGCTGCGAAGTCAAGGACAGGGGCAGGGGTGGTGGCGGAAGCAGTGTCCCCAGCAGAGGAAGCAGGTGGGGGAAACGGGACAGATAGAAGGACCACCGGCTGGCCCGGAGCAGAGGACGCAGGAAGGGCAGCGGTTTGGGACAAGGTCGCAGTGCTGGGGGTGACATCCCGTGGGGGCTCCAGGCCCACTCCTTGGCACAGAGCAGAGCTGGCAAAGCTGGATGGCGTCCCGCAGTCCGGCCCCTGGCCTCACGCTGTGGCCGTGAGCCCTCATGGGCCTGTGGGGCCGGTTGGACCACCCCCTGCCAGGAGCGGGGGTAGGGGGGTGGGGGCGGCTCAGGGTCACACGAAACATGGTGGCTCCCCCGAGTGGCTCTCGGCAGATGCCGCAGGGCAGACGGCACAGGGCAGCGGTGCAACCAGCACCCGCCTTGCCCACATCCCATCACAGGCTGCTTGGGGGCGTCGGGGGGACAGGGTAGCTCATAGCAAGACTTCCAGCCTGTCTGCACGGAGCCTCCCCTCCCCTCTGTGGGTGACTCAGGTGCAAGCACAGAGGTGAAGCTCAACATGTTCAACGTGTTCGCAGATGCCGATGATCTAGGCGGGACCACATCTCTCTCCATGGTCCCCAAAAACCTTGGCCAGGGGGCGCTGGGAGGCTCAGTGATTAAGCATCTGCCTTCAGCTCAGGGCGTGATCCCGGGGTGCCAGGATCGAATCATACATCGGGCTCCCCACAGGGGGCCTGCTTCTCCCTCTGCTTGTGTCTCTGCCTCTCTCTCTGTGTCTCTCATGAGAAAAGAAAATCTTTAAAAAAAGAGAAAGCCCTTGGCCAGTAACTCTAGATCAACATTCCTTTGGGTACGTTATCTGAAGTCACCTCAACAGGAACACAGAGCTGATGTAGACGAGAGGTTTGGGTTCCATTCTCTTCTCTATTAGGCCAAACCTGGGGCGTGGGATTTCCCGCCACACTGGCTAACCTTAAACCATCGCTAATAGAGAGGGAGGAAACGCTGTCATAAAATAAACAGTGCGGGCTGCAGGGACATTCAGACTAAATGACAGATGCCTCTGGAAATGCATGCACGGCCTAAGAGACGCTGCGCCTCATCCCGGGAGGGGGCCGGGAGCAGATCGGACCTGGCCCGTGGCCTTGGGCAGGGAGGCCTGCAGCAGCAGGAAGCAGCAGCTCTCACGCACAGAGCAGCCAGGTGCCTCCAAAGACACCCTGGGGTTCCGGGAGCGGGTATGGAGTTCCTGTGAGCCTCCCTCTAATGGCCACCGCAGTGGCCCAGCATCCCCACCGTGTCCCCACCGCGCCGGCAGCATGACTGAGGACTCACTCTCCCGGCGGCGGGGCGCCGGCCCGTCCCATGTGCACGGGGGACCGCGTGCCTTCCAACCGACCAGGTCAGAACTGGGGGGTCAAATTGCACCCCATCCCAGGGCTGGTCTAACCCTGCTCTGGGGGTCCCTAGCCCTTACAGGAAGGCGACCCTGCGATCGGTGTGGGGGTCGCAGCGGCGCTGAGGAAACAGAGCTGTGGGCCTCACCAGAAGTCAAGGAGAGCCGCTCCACATGGGACATGCGGGGAGATCCCTAAGTAGACACACACAGATACATGTCTGTGTATCTGTCTTTCTACCTGTCTATGAAATCGGGGGCAGAAACAAGATTTTATGCGAACCACAGACCTAGCCAGAAGAGTCATGAACACTTGCCCTCGGGAGCAACGCTGGACAGAAGAGAGGAGACCCCGAGGGGCGGGTGCGGGCTGTTGACTCTCACTGCGTGCCTTCCTCCAAGAGGGATTTTTTTTAAAAAAAAAACATAGACTATCTGGAATTATTAAAATTTTAAATTATTTCAATTAAAAGTACCATAAAAATGGAGGAAAGTCATTTAACAAAAAGGTTTCTTGGGCCAAAAATAGTTCAGAAACCCCCTGCTATAGGACATCAAACCTGTGCAGTTGTCCCCTGGGGAGAGGTCTCTGCAGGGCGTGTCTTCGGGAGGGTCGGGGGCACACGGTCCCCTCCTGACCTCGTGGGTACCGTCCCTGGGCCCGATGGGACACAAGCCCCTTCCCCCACCTGAGGTCCCGCCAGCTTCTCACCTTCCTCCGGGCTTTAATGCGCTTGTAGACGTAGTCAGAGAACGGGCTGCAGGGGATGAAGCGGCCTGCCCCCTGGGTGACGTGCAGGTTGCCATCCTCCAGCATGATCTTGCCCTGGCAGATGACCACCAGAGGGGCCCCGCGCAGCTCCAGTCCCTCGAAGATGTTATACTCCGCAGCCTAGAGACGGAGAGGGGCGAAGCCATGAGGGCGGGCGGAGGACGAGGCGGAGAGGAACAGTGTTCCTGGGCGGGGGGCCCTGCTTCCGGCCTCGCTGCAGCCGAGGTACCAGGGAAGCCAGGAAAAGCTTCCAGTGCCACCCGGCAGCTCTCGGGGAATAGAAGTCCCGGGGGAGAGAGAAAGCGGCTAAGCAGAGACCGGACTTCCCAGCAAAGAGAAACACCAATCCTCAGTAAGGCCCTGGTCTGGAAGCACATTCTGTCACTGGCAGTGTCACAGAGAAGCTTGGGATGCTGGGAGATGGTCTCCACGAGCCCCAAATTAAATGATGAGACGTGGGGCACCTGGGTGGCTCAGGGGGTGAGCGTCTGCCTCCGGCTCGGGGCGTGGTCCCGGGGTGCCAGGATCGAGTCCTGCCTCGGGCTCCCTGCACGGAGCCTGCATCTCCCTCTGCCTGTGTCTCTGCCTCTCTGTGTGTGTCTCTCATGAATAAATAAGTAAAATCTTTAAGAATAAAATAAAACCAAGGCCATCCCCTCCAAAAATGGGATGTCTCTCTACTGCCTTCATTTATTCACCAAGCGCAAGGCAGTACTACAAAAGGTTAAGGACATCAGTTCAGAGTCCAGTTGTGTGGGTTTAAACCCTAACTTCACCATTTACTGAATCTCCTTGCATCTCCATTTCCTCGGTGATAAAATGCAAAAGCTAACAGTGCGCACCTGCGGCGGACTGTTACGGAGATCCGGTGAACAAAAAGCACTCTGCCTGAAACATAAATGCTTTAACATATGAACTCTTGGGGATCCCTGGGTGACTGAACAGTTTAGAGCCTGCCTTCAGCCCAGGGCATGATCCTAGAGACCCGGGATCGAGTTCCGCATCGGGCTCCTTGCATGGAGCCTGCTTCTCCCTCTGCCTGTGTCTCTCCCCCTCTCTGTGTCTCTCAGGAATAAAATCTTTAAAAAAAAACAAAACAAAACTCTTTTTACCAACACGGATTAAGCCTTTTCCCTTGGGCATTGGGCGTTATTATCCTCCACGTAAAACTCCTCAGGAGAAAGTTGTCTGGGCTGTTCATCAATTTTTTTCATGTTCTCTCTCCTGGGTACAGGGGGCATCACTGGCTCCCGGGCTCGGGCCCGTGCAGTGTGAGAGGAAGTGCCATATACCACTTCTCTCAGGAAAGCTCTCAAGAGTCGCTACTCCAGTGACCATGATCTGGCCCCCGGCCTCAGCCTGTGTAGACACGGCGCCTCCGTGCCTGAATACCTGCTGGGAGCAACCCCCCACTGACCCATCTGGGAGACCAGGAGTGAGAAACAACCTGCTGAGGTATTACATCACTGAGAATTTGGTGAGGTCTGTGACAGCGACCCATCCTGGTCTAGCAGGCCTGGGGCGACGCACGTCCACACCTCTCTCCTGACCGAGTTCCACATGCGCCTTCTCCACACCACTCTTCTCCCGCCAGCAAGTGCCTTACCGACTGGTGGCTCTTGGCCGAGACAATCTTCACCGCATCTGGGTCCCAAATCACCAGGTCGCTGTCAGAACCCACAGATATTCTCCCCTTGCGGGGATAGAGGTTGAAGATCTTGGCGGCATTTGTGCTTGTCACAGCCACAAACTGGTTTTCATCCATTTTCCCAGTGGCCTATTGGGATACCAAAGAAACTCAGCTCAGGACATCTGAGCTCAGAGCAACGTGACCACCAGGGCCAGAAACGCCCAGACGGCGTCTGAGGAGATGAACACGGACCCCCACCCACAAGCTGTCCACCTGGCTGGCTGCGCCATCACGGCAGCCAGGGACGATGGGGAACACATGGCTTCAGAAAGCGTCTCCACTCTTGGAGGGGGTGTCTTTTTCTGGTTTGTGTATATACTTCCTTCTTTGCCCTCTTAATTCCAAAAAGATTTATAGAATTCCCAGTAAAAACAAATGTGGTTATGAGCCCATTTTTTAGATATCTGTTTGTATTTGCATGGTCACAAGATAAATATGGAAGAGCCTCACCCAATAATAATAATGGTTAACCCTGGGTTGTGGAAATATGGCTGATTTTTGTTTTCTTTCTTGTGTGTGCTTTTCTATGCTTTTCAAGTGCTCTTTTAATGAGAATGTATCATGTGGGTAATTAAAATATATATATATATATTATTTTTAACAATTCTAGATTGTGCCAAGTTAACTATATATATTTATATATTCATAAATACACAACAGTGTTTAGGAAAGAACAAAACCTAAGTATGTGAGGGAAGAGAAAAATATTTATACTTTCCTTCTTTACAAAACAAAAAGCCTGGATAAGGAAAAAAGAATTTAGTTTCAAATCTAACTTTGGGCTTCCTGGGAACCACGATGAGAAGGGAAATTTGGTGGCTTACTCTGTGCAGATGAATGAGGCATTAGTTCATATGCAATATACATACGGCTCAGAAATAAATGTCTTTAGAGTTTTTAAAATAAAAGAGAAGGAGGGTGCCTGGCTGGCTCAATCGGTGGAGCATGCAACTCCTGATCTTGAGGATGTGAGTTCGAGCCCCATGTTGGGTATAGAGATTACTTAAAAATAAAATCTTTTAAAAAAATAAGAAAATAAAAAAATAAAAGAAAAGGAAGTGATCAACTTAATAATGAGTTAATTATTATTTTTACTAAAACCTTTGGGACAGCCTTCATTAGCATGGCTATTTCTTTTGTCAGCCTCGGTCATGTTATTAAGGAAAATACAACCAGGCTTACTGTCAGAAGACCTCTGGTCAACAGTCCTTTGTACAGCCTGGATGACTACGCACTCAATGAAGGGCATCCTTGATGAGCAAGCTGACTTCAGTCTCTTAGGCATATACCCCTTGCTTACCATTTCAATGGGTTATATCCAGCCCCTTCAAAAGAAGTGACAATACTCCCTCCAAAAATAATTTAATTCACTCTTAAGTACAGATCATTCATGCCATCAGATAGATGTAGGGTCCGTATGTGTGGCTCCTAGTTGTTTTAGCAGTCTAGAGGAGGAGGTCTCCTCAAAATGTCAAGATTCATCCCTCTGTAGGTAACATTCCTAAATCACATGGTTCCAGAAACATCTCAGCAGGTATGAGGGCTCACCTACCAAAAAGCAGTGGCAGGAGGCTCTGATCTGGCCCTGGCCCCTGTCCCATGACCTTGATCCTTACCACAGCCTTGTCCCAGATGACAGACATCCGCTCTTCCACACCGTTGGTGCCCTCAGGGATGGCTGTGAAGTTGTCCTTCCCAATCGCCTTCTGAGCAGTACTGAAGGTACAGTGGGCACTCCCAGAGAGCTGCAGGTCTCCACTGGCAAAGGAAAAAAGCTCCATGTAAACTGGAGAGGTGGCTTAGAGGCACCGCCGGGGACAAGCATTGAGTGTCTACCATCAGCATTCAGAACGCCAAAACTTGAGTTTAGGATCCTTTCTGTACTTCTTACCAGATACGTGAGCATAAGTGAGCTCTTTCCCTCCCTGGGCCTTACAGTTAGCCCATCCGGAAGATGAGGGGGTTAGCTCATCTCTGTGTAACAAAATAAAAGGGACCCAAATGAGGGATAGGGATGACCCTACATGTCCTCGGGGGGAGGGCACAAATGAGTCTCCCTTTAAGTTCAGTTAGGTCCTGTTTAAAATTAGGCAAATGATCTGACCCTCAGTAGCTTAACCTGTAAAGTTGCCAGTTGTCATGAGGATCAATGAGATCATCTGTGTAGTCTCGCCAGTCTTCGCACATGATATGTATTAACTGCTCCTCTCATTATTAATATCATTACTGTTAGTGATTTGTAAAATATAATGGGGAAGAGCCCGTTGTTCTCCATGTGTTCTCCTCACTGCAGACTCTAATCTAGATGATGAGTGGGCTGCTCTAGTCCTCATCCCCCTGGTCCCACGATGTTTCCACGGGACACATGCTGCTCGTCATCCTGCACCAACCTGGCCAGCAAGGAGTTGATGTAGTCAGGAGTGGTCGGGTCAGGGCTCAGAGGTGGGGATGTCACAAACGCAGCTGCCTTAGCCCAGTTCTTGCTCCAGTAATGGGTTCCATCTGTGCCGAGGCTGGCAGTGATGGGCTCACCAAAAACCACATTTCCTGCAAGGGTAGGAAGTAGACAATAGATTTGTATAATGTCTGTGCTGCTCCAGACCTGGCTCAGATAATCATGGCCCCTGGCCCTCGCCAGGGCTGTGGATCTGAAGTCATGCAAGCCTGGGGTCACGTCTATGTGTCCACCTTTTCTAAGCCTCTGTCTTTCTATCTACTAAATGTCAACAATGTTGTACCCCTAGTCCTCAAGAAGCCATTGGTTATAAGATGCAGCTTTAAGTCTTAAATTTTGCGACAAATTGATATTTGAGGCAAAACCAAAAAATGTATACTGATTCTAAGATTCATGGACATTTCAGAAATACTAAATATTAAAATGTGGATTAGGTCTGTCCTGGAGTAGATGAAACACAATCACGTCTGCTTCTCAGGATTCTGAAAATGAAGAGATTTGGCACAAAGTGTCTGGCACACAGGAGATGCTCAGTGAATGTGATTTCCTAGGCTACTGCCACTCCTTCCCAGGGTAGGGGCCCAAAGCCCACTGTGTACCTCCATCACTGGAAACTACTAGATCCTGCTTGTTGCAAGGACATGCTTTGGTTCCACTAAGTAAGTCCTTTCCCTTGGATAAGAGGCTCTCATCATGGTCTTTCCACCATGCTTGTTACTCAGTAACCTAAAACAGGGAGTGATCTGCTCAAAGGCACCCAAAAATCAAAGATGAGGCTCACTTCTTGGATCCCATGTCTGGAATTTAGGGTTTATACATCTACACCAAGCAGTGGAGAGGAGGGATGCTAGGAAATAAACTGATCTAAGCTGAATTTCTTAAAGAAGAAGGGACAGAGAAAAAGAAGGCTGTCTCACAGAAGGTTGATTGGTACCAAGTTTCTCTACACTAGAATCTTGGGCAAAGAATGCCTCATAAAGCCCTGGACTTCTCAGCTTCAGTACTCTATCTTCTACATTCAAGTTCCCCGTAATGTCAAACATTAGGAGGAAAGCTCTATGGGCAAAATTATAAATAGGTCTTGACTTCCTTCAACTCTAATCTATTGGTTTTGGTTGCCTGGAATTCTTTGTCAAAAGAACTCTAAATATGTTTCCGGTTTCACTTCAAGAGTCAAGTTTGATTTGTGATGTCTGCCATGGGCTGAAGAAGGAATCAATGGCAATGATTCCTATAGGACAGCCCTGCTCTTTGGAATAACGGGAAAAAGGATCCACACAAGCAGAATGAGAATTTCAAGGGCTCTCTAAAACAATTTACCCAACTAAATCATGTAGGACCACAAAGAAAGAAATGGAGGTCAAGACAAGCCCTCAGGCACTATTAAGAGAAATATGATCTTAAAAGTGGAAGAACTCTGGGGCGCCAGGGTGGCTCAGTTGGTTAAGCGTCTGCCTTCAGCTCAGGTCATGATCCCAGGGTCCTGGGATGGAGCCTCAGCAGGGAGTCTGCTTCTTCCTCTCCCTCTGCCTCTTCCCCCTGCTTGTGCGCGCGCTCTCTCTCTCTCTCTCTCTCAAATAAATAAATAATATTTTTCTTTAAAAAAAAGTGGAAGAACTCTCCCTTTGGACTGTCTGTAGACGGGAAGAGTATAATAAATATTGTAATTACAGTTGGGTTTGAATACCAGCTGTCCCAGCTGGAAGATCCTGACACACTGTGCTTCAATTTCCTCATCTGAAAAATGGGAATAAGAATGGCTATTTCTCGGGGTTCTTTGCCAATTCTACATAATAATAAGTCTGAAGTATTTATCCCAGTGTGGGGCATACAGCTGGTCCTCATTAAACTGTGGATCCCTAATATTAATTCTGAGCAGTCATGCAGAGCTGCTCAAGGACACTTGGTGGCGCACACACTGGACATAGGCTCAGGAGGGAAGAATGAGCCCTGCTACACTGCCTCCCTGCTCTGAGTACTCCCAGCTCCTGCCCTGAGAATGACAGGTCCCGAGATGTTTCCTGTCCTCCATATCAGGAATCAGTGCTTCGGCCCTGAAACAAGCCCTCCCTGCCTCCCTGCCACCTTGGAGACACAGCTATCCTAGCTCTTTTGGCCAAACGATCATGAGCCAGAAGGTGAAGGATGGGGATCTTTCTCCATGAGTTTAAAATAAGACCCAGCAAGGCCCCTGGGTGGCTCACTGGTTGAACGTGTGCCTTTGGCTTAGGTTGTGATCCCAGGGTCATGGGATAGAGTCCCACATAGGACTCCCTGTGGGGAGCCTGCTTCTCCCTCTCCCTATGTCTCTGCCTCTCTGTGTCTCTCTCTCATGAATAAATAAGATTTAAAAATAAATAAAATAAAATAATAAAATAAAATAAGGCCCAGCATGTAGCTGGAACACTGTGTCCTTGAGACCCTCAAGTTATCCTGAGAATGGTTCTGAGGGAGGCTGTAGCCATGAGCAAAAGGCCTGAGAGCAAGTATGGCAGGTGGTCTTGGGGAGAGGGTGAGAGGGTTCCCTATACATTTCCCTTTTTTTTTTTTTTTTTTTTTTTTTGCCTTTCTCCAAGAATGGGTAAGGAATATTGGGCTGCTTTCCTGGTTCTCGCCCGATGACTCATATCCAGTAGAGCAACCACACCATGTCATGTTGAGACATTTAAAAGCAGAGAAAGAAAACAGCAGGCTTACTGTGAGCAGCGTAAGGCAGGAGATGCTCTGAGAATGTGGGAGCTACAAAGTCTGTCTAGACAATTAGGAAGATCTCCCTCCCAGAAGAAAAGGGTCCCTTTTGCCAGAAGGGCAGGCAGCTGAATACTCAGCCATCAGAGTCAGGGGACCTATTTTTAGCCACCTGAGCCATTCACATGTGGGGCTTTACAGACCAGCTCAGAGTTTGGTAGGTGAGTCCCTGACCTTGGCTCCCCATGACCAGAATGGCCACTGGCACCCAGTGCTAACATGACACACGGTGGGGCGGGGGGGGGGGGGCTAATAAATCCTCTCTCCCAACCAAACACAGGGCCCCACACCTCCAGGCTCTCAACCACACTCTGATCGCAAGTGAGCCCATTCGTGTGCCACTGAAGACAAGAACTAAAAGCAGAAAAGAAAGCTCTGAAGTGAGAGTAAACTTGCGCTCAGCACCAGATGAGCAAACAAGGCCAAGTTAACACCAATGGAGGAAAGTAGCACAAGTCACAAGGCGGTGGTGACAGAGCCCCAGGGTATGAAGGCCATGCCACCAGACAAGCTTCAGAGACCCATTCAACCCCCTTCTCAAAATTACCTGGCCTAATTTGTGTGGCTCAGGTAGGGAGACCCCGCCCCTGCACTCTGCCCTCAACCCTGGCCGATAGATTACACAAACCCCAGAGCAGACACTGGATCAGAGTTGGGCCCAAGACCCAAACCCAAGGCAATCAGAGCCCTCCCGGGCACTTCTGCTTGAGCCGTTGGAAATAACGGACTCTACTTCCTCACCAAGTCCCCTCAACAACTACTGAGGTCAACAGGTGCCTCTCAGCATTCATTCTTATCATTGTTCACACTGAAAATAAAGCCAACAGAGAGGAAAGCAGAGACAAGAAAGGATGAAGAATGATAGAGCCCCAACATCACTGTTGGAACCCCTTGATCTGGCTCTGCCTGAAAAACCTTCAAGCAATAATTTACTTTTGTTTGTTTAAATCCATTTGACTTGGATCTTGGACTTCTACATCCAGTTTCATTTTGACTAGTATGTCCATTTATAAAGCTCAGATAACGTGAGCTGACCATGAAGGATCAAAGGGAGGAAGAAAGATGCCTCCAAGAGCTGACCGAAGCTGAGCCATCTTGGACAAACCACTCACCCTCCTGAGCCTAGTTAATCCACCTGCCAAGTGGGAGAAATGCCAGGGTCCTGCCATCCACACAGGACACTGAGAGGATCCCCTGGGCTAACAAGGAGGAAGGGCTTCCCAGAGAGCAAGGCAATGAGCAAAGTTGGCACCGTTTCTACAGGACAGCCAGAGCAGGGAAGGAGCCACATGGCTGAGGCTGAGCTCTTGGAAGCACCAATCACCTTTTTTCCTGGCTTGCGAGATCAGGTCGGCCGCGCTCTTGCTCATGACCTTCGTGACGTAGAGCGGACAGTTGGTTTGGCTTGCAATGGTGATGGCACGGAACACAGCTTCAGCTTCCAGCTGCAAAAAGAAGTCCCAGGAGTCAAGAGAAGCATGAGCCTCTCAGAGTGCCACTCCCCTGCCTCTGCAAACTGAGAATGTAGCACAGCGCGGAGCTTAAAAGCCTACAGGATCTGCAGTTAGACACCCCCAATCCACCATGTCCCCACTGTGGCACTTCACTTGGCTTCTCACAGTCTTGTCCTCGCCTTCCTTGGTTGCTTCCCTCCTCTCCCCGTGATTATCCCAAAGGCTGCATGCGATGGAAGCCTTTGCTCCCCAGTCTTCCCAGACAGATTCTCTGGCAAAACAGCATTCCAGCACCAACAGGGAAACAATAACCAGTAAACGTAATTAAACATCCAATCCTTCCCTGCAGCAATGGATGGTTAGTGGATGGTTAGTGGTGGCAGTTCCAGCAGGCATTTCTTACACTAATCATTCCCAGACTTCTGGGGCCCCTGGGTGGCTCAGTCAGTTAAGCAGGTGACTCCTGATTTCAGCTCAGGCCATGATCTCAGGGTTGTGGGATTGAGCCCTGCATCAGGCTCTGCACCTCAGCAGGGAGTCTGCTTGAAATTCTCCTTCTTCTCTCCCTCTGTCCCTCCCCCTACTTGTGCTCTTTTCTCCCTCCCTAAAACAAATACATAAAGGCTTTCCAAAAAAAAAAAAATCCCAGGCTTCTCAGCAGAGACTTCTCCTCTTCTCAATTTCTTCCATCCCACTCAAAAGTAGAATCTACGTGTTCAAATACGCTAACCAACTGTGTTGAATTTATTTAGTAAGAAATAATGAGTTTCCCCTTACTGTATTAACAAAGCAGGGTATTTAGAACTCAGGCTCTTTCAAATGGCCTGGGTCTGAGTTCTGGTTCTGCCACCGAGAAGATGGGTGACCTCATGTACTGTACACCACCTCCCAGAGCCTCAGTTTCCTGTCTGTAAGATGGGAACAGTAATAGGACCCAGCCCACAGGGCTGTTGTGAGGATTCTGAGTTCATCCTTAAAGGCAACTGGCCCATTCCTGGGACAAGGCAAGCGTGCCTGGCACTCTGGCTATTGGTCTCATCGCTGATTGCAGCTCCTGACCAGCGTGGGGGAGCCCATGCCACTGCCCCAGGCCCATGGCAGTACGGTTCAACCTGAAGCAGCTGCTGCTACCATTTCCTCAGCCAATCAGCAACAGTTCCGTTTTGGATGGGTAGGACATTCTGGTCAGCCTATGCAGCCCAACACTTTAAAAAGTACCAAAAATAGCTTGCAGATGCCCAGTGTTTGCATAACACAAACCAGCCACTGCCCTCAGTGGGTGTGGCTCAACAGAGAGACTCTAGGACATGGTGGGTCCCACTGGTGCCCCCCCACCCTGTTCTTGGTCCCAGGGGACAAGCCCCCGGAGCCCACAACCACAGGTGAATACGGCCACCTTCCCGAAGCACCCGACTTCTGGAGCAAAGCTCGGGTTCAGCTCTCTGCCCAGCATCCCCGGGGACAGTAGCCGGGCGTGCTCTGAGCTGAAGAGTGGCTGGTTCCTCCTCCACCCATCCCTCCTCCATCACACCTGTGCTCCCCACTCTGCTCCCCATGGCCTCGGCCCTGGCTCCTCTGATACCACTCCCTCCCAGCCCTGCAGGTTTCTCAGCACCTTGACAACATGACTATCTTTGGAAGGTTACATCATCCTCCAGCTTCACCCAAAAGGGCTTCCAGGGTTGTCCAGATCTACTGCTAGAAGCTTTTTACTAAAAAGGAGACGGGAACAGGAGGAGTGGGGCGGGGGGGCTGGAAAAACAAACCAAGGAACAAAAATAGACTTTGCTCAGAAATCCCCTGGCTGCTGCTACAGAAATCAATCTTGCCAGCAAATCTCTACAGTGACCAGCATTTAGGAAAAGTTTCACAAACAGTGCTGATCACCCTGGCCCCCTCACACGCCATCAACAGCTTTCCTAGCCTTCACGCAGAAGTAGCCAGGAGCCTGTTAACCTCTCGAGCTTGGGCTCCTTCATGCAACAGTAATGCCAACCACCCAGAAGAACAGTGGCAAGGACAACTAAGGCAATCAGCACAGCTCCAGGTATGGGCTAGTGTCCCACAGAAAGGACTTTAGGAGACAGACCTTTCTGGAATGCTGTGAAATATTTATGAATCATTTCAACTGGGAACAACTTCATTAGACACAGAGGAGTTTCTGGAGTGCTGACAGTGCTCTGCTTCTCCAGTGGGGCACTAGTGACACAAGTGTCCTCAGCTCGTGAGAATTCCTTGATCTTTAGGCCAGGAACACTCTTCTGGGTGCGCGTTACCGTTTAGTTTTTAAAAGGCTCTAAAAGCGACGGGCCAAAGGAATACCACTGGTTTCTGGCTCTGACTCGTCCTTCTACCTCCTGGGGGGGGGGGTGTGGAGCGGGGGGTGACAGAGCAGGATCCGGGGTCACCTCACTCATGCACCAGGCCCTGAATGTACTCTGGGCGCTGCTCCTGGGCTGGCCTCCCAAAGCCAATATGCTCACAGCCCTAGGGCAGCCAAGGCCCAGCTCTGTGCCCTGTGCCAGCAGCTGAAGCTGCCAATGTCCCAAACACATGCAATCAGCCACTAGTTAGTTTTTATTCACTCATCAGCTGCTAAGCAGTCCCTGTTCATCATTCATTTTACACGTGGGAAACTCCCTGACCCAGACTTAGTCATCACCTTACACAAATCGATAGACATAATGTCTACGAAACACCCACTCCACCTACTACACATGTGGCTGATACTTCCTTTTGCAGGGCTGAGAATATAATATGGAATAAGGAAGGAAGCGCAAATGTCTTCGAGATGCACGCCGACGAAGAAAGGGTTTAGGTATTTACCTCTCCAACTGAACAGGTGTGGAGTGCCCTCCACCTCATGCTCTCTTTGGAGAGATTAGCATTTCCCTTACATTATTTTCTACTTTTCTCTGAGTCCCTTGAGTTGGTCACACAGACATGTGGCCTTTGGAAGAAATGTTCCAATGTTGCTGTCTGGTACTCACAGACTCTCCCCGCCGTTCCTGAATGTTGCTCCTACACCTTGTGTGCACGTGTCTGGTGAAGGCAGGCTGAACACAAACTCTCTAGGTGTCCAGTGTCCAGCGGGGCCATCAGCCAGGCTGCTGGGGAGTCTCCCAGAAGATGCTGGGAAGACAGAGCACCTCCACTGCTGTCCTGTGCTCTCCTCCATTCCCCAGCCCCCAGCAACTCACCTCCTCTGGTCTGCTCAGCACGTGCCCTTCTGGGCCAGTGATCCCCATTTCCAACATCCGGGTTTGCTCCTACAATGAGAAAAGAACACAGACCAGTTCTGAGATAAGCTCAAGTGAGGTGTGGAAAACCGGTGCTGGTGTATTTTAATCTGAAGAAGTGTTCAAGGGAACTAAAGGAATTAAATGTGTGTGTTGAATACATTTGTTAATGCTCCATCTGGAATTGTCAAATCGGGTCAAGTCTTAACTAAGAGAAGAAAAAAAAGTTTCAGGGTGGCTTTTCTTAATTAAAAGGACAGCTGTCTGTTAGAAAATCAAAAATGTTTTCGCCATTACGCATCAAAAGTCACACCAGCTCGCTTATGCCTCTCGTGCTGTGTGTCCCAAGGTCTAGACACCTACCACCTCCATCCACCAGAATCACCTGGGCTTGATTCTGTGGCCGTGCGGCTGTCTGGCCCTCTCTTAAATCAGAACACAGAGGGATCCCTGGGTGGCGCAGTGGTTTGGCGCCTGCCTTTGGCCCAGGGCGCGATCCTGGAGACCCGGGATCGAATCCCACATCGGGCTCCCGGTGCATGGAGCCTGCTTCTCCCTCTGCCTGTGTCTCTGCCTCTCTCTCTCTGTGACTATCGTAAATAAATAAATAAAAAACCTTTAAAAAAAAAAAAATCAGAACACAGAGCTGAAATTCTAGGAATCTGCGCTCTAACAAACCCCTCAGGCTTTCCTGTGGCTTAAATTTCTGGCTGAAATAAATGGCCTCAGAATTTAACCAGGCGAAATAATGCCTCTGAACAGCATTACCTGAGTTCGTCTTTTGGTCAGATTCTATTCAGTTAGGCTGTTTGGTGACAGACGGCCTACCCCTCAGGGCTGAGGGCTACATTCCTCAGACTTCTGGCCAGCTTTCTGGAAGAAGCAGGTGGCTGGGCAGCGAACACACCCGTGGGCTAGTTGGAACTGGCACGAACCCTAAGCCACCGTCTCGGCAGTTCTGCTGGGCTCCGCTCTCCAAGTCCTAAGGGCCAGATCCCATGAACCTCTGCACTGCGGTGGGTGAAACGAGGGAGAGGGAGGGACCCGAACAGAGCCCCGCAGCACTTTGGAACTATGAGATGTCTAGAAAGGAAGGGAGCCCTTCTCCCTGCCAACGAAGAAATATTTTTTGTTGTCTTTTGTTTTGTTTTGAATCATATCATTTTTTTTTTTAAGGGGCAAGAAGAAAGATGCAAACACTCTAAGCAGTTGTGAGAAGTGAAGTGATCACTGTCTCCCACTCTATGGGATTAGAGAAAGAGGCCAAGGCGGATTTTTGCAGCAAAATATTTTTTCACTTTTCATTCTTTTCACTTCATTCTTACTGTTTCATTCTCACTACCCCACTTTTCATTCTTACTGTTTCTTCTTCACTTTTCATTCTCATGGTTTCATTTGTCAAAACTTGGGCCGAACACACTGACTTCTCAACCTCGGTAAGTCTCCACTCCGCGCTGCCTCCTGAAGTCACACCAAGGCAGAAGTGTCCAGCCCCAGCCTCTTCTGTGTCGCCTGACACATTCACTTTGATCTTATTCAAACAGCACTGGCAGGGGGCACAGGAGGAAGCTCGCTCAAGCGACAGTGGCCCGGCCCGTTCAAATCACAGAGGAAACGTTTTCAAATGACACTTGCCTCAAGTTCACTATCAACCTCCTAAATCAGAATCTCCGGGACTAGGAGAATCCCAGGAATCCCTAAGCTCCACAGGTGATTTCAATGCACTGCTCCTGCTGGGAAGTCCCATTAAAAGCCATGGTGTCCCTATAGCTGGAAGATTAAGGAGGGTGTGCAAAGGCCTACGGAAGCCGTACCTGGGTGGGGGAGCAGTGAGCACTTAGATGCATTGCCCGTTGCTGTGATCACACCACAGTGTGGGCCATGACATGATTCTGGTTTGCACCATGAGGAAAGAAACCCTGTCTTTTTCATCTTCCCCCTCCAAGGCTCAGCACACAGTAGGTGCTCAATAAATACCGATAGATGAATGGCTAAAGGTGCTACACTCTCAGATTGCCCTGCCCACTTGAAACCTTGGGAATACATTCGCGCAAAAGAGATTTCTTCTTGCTCAGCTCTGAGTACACCAGCTGCCTTCATTTAGACACTGTGATAAAATCTTTCGGCTCAGTCTGAATATAATAAATACACACAAGAAACTCATCCAAATGGAAAAACGTTCTTTCTTTCCCTGAGAACAAACAAATCCTTCACAAGGTAGGGAAGAGAGGGCATGGGGCAGGGCGGAAGCAGAAACAGTTCTGGGCTAAGGAGCCACTAGAGCAAGCTGGAAAGGGGGCTTCGTAATGGAGCCTGTTTGCCTCTACAGGGTCTAGAAGGAAACAGCAGGGAGTTTGGTTCCTAGGGCATCTTGGAGGGAGGGCTGGATCCTCTGGCTGCTGCCCTGAAAATGCCAAGCAAGTGGAGGAATATGGCCCTAATGCCACCAGGATATGCCTCCCGTAAGCACTGGACCCTCTCTGGAAAATGATTCCATTATCTCTGGGTGTGTGGGGGATGAGGGGAAGGGCTGTCAGGGGCCTGACTCATTAAGCTCCTTGGTCAGCAAGAGGAAACTACACGTTTAGCTCACTTCCTCCGCTGGTGAGACAACATCCAGAGTGTGAAACCCTAACAGCTAGAGACGTGTCCTGCTGGGAGGCGCTGTCTCCCTGGGGGACCTACACCTGGGCTCATGGAGCAACAGGCCCAGGACACACCAACTCAGAGAAGACGCCCACTCAGCCACAAGGCCTTAGGGCTAAGATTTTCTTCTCCCAGTTACTGGCTGTGCTCCTCGGGCCAGTGGCCTAATCCTTCTGAGCCCAGCATGCTCCTCTACTGAACAGGGCAGACAGTAGCCATCCTTGAAGGACCAGGTGAAGATTGACTGAGAATACACTGGAACACTTACCAGTGCCAGGCACACAGAAGCAAGCATTTGCCATATGGTCCCTGCCGTTAGAAGCTAACGGGTCTGAGACAGGGTGGGCCCCACGGTTCCCACATCCCTGTGGACCACATTCACCAAGTCCCAGACAACCTCTAAAATGAAGGCACAGCCCAAGGACGAGTGAACTGTGGAATGCGTCTGTTTGGGCTCACCTCAATAGCCTCGTGCCTGGCACAAAATGCTCGGGACATACTCTTTGAAAGAATGAATAATGGATTTTGCCATGGACGTTATTAAATGGACCAAGAGAGCTCTCACTCCTCTAGCTGCCTCCTCCTAGTGGAGGCCAATCTTGAATGCTTCTGAGATAAACAAGACCCTGGCTACGACACATCTGTGCAACGAGCCCATTAAGCGACTCAGGAGATGGAGAGAGTGCCTTCTGCTTCCTTATTAACGATCACTTTGGGCCTTGGGGCCTGATTTCTTCACTCCTGCCTTCAGGTTCTCAGTATAACTTCTAGGAAACCAGCGGGGTATCTGATCACCCCCAAGACCTACATTCTTTATCATCTAAAGCCATGAGTTCTACAGTCCTGGATCGGATTTCTGAGAAGTGCTGTCTTAGGGTTTTTCTCTAGGACAGAGAACGTCATGGAGCTTAGACTCCCTTTTCAAAGAGAATCAGCAACACAGTCCCACTACATGGCCCAATTCGAAAACCTCTTCTGGGATGCCTGTTCTCATCCCCCAAGATGGCTCTTTATTTCAGTGTCCTCACCTTTCTCCCTCGCTTATCTTCATTCCCTCCTCCTAGCCTGGCATGTGCTTTAGGGCAGGTTCTGTGTTCAGTACAGTGTTTAGGACTGTGCCTCATGCACATGAAGAGCTCATGCAATACTGAGGAAGGAAGAAGGAAAGAGGAGGGCTGGAGACCCGAGCCTGTGCAGGGAGCACATTCTGGGGAGCTGCGTGGCGTTACCTGAGCAATGATATCCCCATTCTCAGCGTGAACTTGCGCGATGGCTCCCAGCTCGCCTAGACAGGTGAAGATCTCGTAGAGCTGAAAGAGAAAGGGTGGCTGTCACCTTCACAAGCCACTGAGCCATTCCGCAACATCACACAGGGGTCGATTACTAGGGCCATAGATAAAACAAATGAGGAAAACCAGAGGAAGCCGGTGATTAGGGCAAGAAACACAGGCTAAATCATGCACGACCAAAGAATTCCAAATCCAAAGGAACTCTAGGAAACCGTCTCTGTAAAGAACAGATCATGTCTCCTTGGCGGACAGGGCAAATGTACACATAGTGCCATTGAACCTTCTACTCTGCCTCCAGCACACATTTAATGGTATTATTTCCTGTTTTGCTGGGACAGACCTTCGCAATCCTTCTCAGCAAGTGCCCCTGAGGGCTGCTACAGCAGGGCCAGAAGCTCGAGGGCCAGCTAACATCCCTATTCCCTAACCCTTCAAGGTAGACCTCCTGTCACCTCGTAACCAGGAGCGATGGGAATTCATTCCTTCTATTTCCTCTGAAAACGTGAGATTCATGTAAAACCAACGCATGCCCTGAGCGTCAGAGATAGCTACGACCCCAAACAGCAGAAGGCCCTCCCTAAACCTGCAAAGCCAGAGCAGCTCATACTTCCAATGAGCTCATGCAGGGTTTAGGGCTCGTTTGGTAGATGGAGACTTCGGCATGCCCTTCCTCTTGTCCTTCTGAGAAAGCTGCTGCCAGTGGAAATTCTAGCTCCTGGTCTGCCTTGCGTGGGCACCCTGCCTGTTACCTTATTTAAAATGCAGCATGGACCGCAAGGGCTTTACGAAGCACTCTGGCCCAGCAGTCACCCACAGCGACCACAGTGACTCATGCTCAAAGAGCCAAGGTCACCAACAACAATGGGAAACCCATCCAGATACCTCAAACCACACAGCAATGGCTTGTTACCTCTGTGTTGGACACTTGATACAAATCCTTATAGGCCATGTAAACCATGAAGGAGTTAACCCCTGCAAGAGAGGGAAGGGAGGGAAAAGAGGAGGAAGACAACATTAGCACGACTGCTCTCCTTCCCCTGCTCCCATCGTCATGGGGCCCGAGTGCATTATGGGGACCTGTCTGATATAAATCAGATGCTCCCCATTCTCATCCTCTCTTCACGTGCTAAAGCAGCAACGCCGACATGGTGTCACCGCAGAATGGGCTCTGCTGCACCTGTCTTGCCTGCTCCCCCCATTCCCCAGCCCAGAGGGGTAAGCTTTGCTATTACTCCAGGCAGTATACATCCTCGAGAATCACTGCAGCACCCCAGGCGTGTTCACGTACTGGGGGTGGCACCACGTACTAGTTCAGTGAGCTTGCCATACCTCACACCTCTTGGTTTCCTCACATGTAAAATGGAAAAATGACAAGAGCCCGCTTCATTAGGCAGCTGGAAACGTTAAAGGAGACAACACACACGGAGCTCTCTGCACCAGACCTGGCACGTATCTGAGCTCCGTTGATGGGGCTGCTGGGAATGGTTTCTTTCACTCCGTAAGGAACGCTGGTTCTACCCGGGGCCTGGGTGGTGGGGGGTGGAGGGTGCATCTAAGGCGGAGACCAGATCCTCGAGGAACCGAGAGCTAATGGGCAGAAGTCAAGGTGTACCCTGTGCTTACATATCTAAGCTAGCCCTTCCAGGCTATGAGGAAAGAGCTATTTATTTTTTCACCCCAAAATAGACTATTAATGTAGTATTTATATAAATAGGTGGGGCTGGGGAACAAGAGAGTCATTTTGGGGAAAAGAGGACAATTTTGGTCTCCAACCATTAGGGCCATCTCAGCCCACAGTGTTTCAGGCCAAAAGCCGGTTGTAACTTGAGAACTTGCCTACCCAGAGTGGTTCAGCTCGGGGCAGCTTTTCCCAACACTACCCTTCCCATAAGCCTGTGCGTCATCTGCGGAATGACCCAGGCCCTTTGTAAGGGAAGTGGGTGTTAAAGCCGGTCCATGAGATGCCGGGCGTGAAAAGTGTCACAAGAAAGGAGGGGGTTAATCTCATATCCGACATCAGGAAGGTCTGGGCACAGCTGGTGGGATGAGGAGGGACATGGAAAGGAAAGCTCATCCTCTGAGAGGCCACCCTCTCCCCTGCAACCCAGAGCACACGCTCTTCCACTGCACTCTGGCATCTGCATCTATTATTAAGTTACTGTTATAACAATGCAGGTTACTTATGTTAGTATTAGTACTGGGATTGTAATGAGTATAATGCTATTACTATTACAATATTCTGCACCTCGTGGCATTTACCCCATTGCTCTTCACTGGCCTGCTTCCTGTTGCCTTGCACGCTCAGCAGAGACCATTCCTTATACTTCCCTAAAACCCCGAGCACACAGCGTGTCTGTGTGTGCGTGTATAGAGGGAGGTAGTGTGTGTTCATAAAATATCTGACCATCAAAAGGTAGAAGGAAGCGGAGAACAGAAGGATCCAAGATGACAAGGGAAACCTAAATTATGTACTCAGAGGGGACCCATGCCCATTTCCATGTCCTAAGCTCCTAGTCTGAATATGAACCCCTCTTTGCTCCCACAACTGTCGTAGCCTTTTCTGAGGATGCCACTGTTTGAGAGCAGTCATGATTTGATCTTCAAGTAATGAAGGTGAAAAATTCCTAATCTCGTTTTTAGGAGCTGTGTGACCTTCTATAAGATGTTAACCTCTCCTGGCCTCAGTTTCTTCCTCTATCAAATGGGCAGGGTCACATGGAGGTGAAGAGCACAGACTTTGCGAATAACTACTGCTTACTAGCTCTGTGATCCCAGGCCACACTTACTCTGAGCCTCAGGCTCTCCATGCATGAACCGAGCATGACCATCCCTATCATGGGGATCCTGTAAAGAGTAAGATGGCATACACGAAGACAATGTGCCTGGAATGCAGTGGTCCCCCTGCACCGACCACTCATGCTCAAGGTTCCAGGCTCCAAGCAAGGAGAGGGGAGGGGGGCACACAGGGCCTCACCTTTGTCCTTTTTTTTTAATTTTTTTTAATTTTATTTTTTCTCACCTTTGTCCTTGATGAGGTTTTGCACCTCCTGCTTGACGCTATCATTCCAGTGGGTGATGTCCACGTGCAAGGCATAGTCGCAGCAGCTCTTCCCATCCGCCCATTCTCTCCACTTCTCATAGGCCTCCGTCAGGCTGGCCTCCGGCTCAGGTACCACGTGGTCAACTGAACGACACAGGCCCCACATGGGTAAATCACTGACCCAGTCTCTGCTCCCCTTTGAATAAGCCTGCCCCTGCTTGCTTAGCCAGGGCTGCAAAGTCTGTTTCCTGAGCATGGAATAAACCTTAGAAAGTGCTCCCCGGCAGTTTCCAGATTGCTCATCATTTAACTATCACATACCCATGTTGCTCTTGGACAAATCACTAGCTTCTCTAGAGCCCAGTTTTCTTATCTTTGAAATCTGTGCTCAGTGAGGTAGAGGGTGGAATGTCATGGTACCTTCCTTCTAATTCTGTTATATGATTAAATGCATGAAAAGGATCTCACCTGATGCCTGGCACACAGTCAGTACTTGGTAAATGTCAATGAGCACCTCCTATGTGCCATTATTACCAGTATCATGGGAAGTCACTGCTAATGGAAAAAGTCAGACTCCCTCCTAAGGGTGTGAAAGAGGGGTTTTAAAGTTATGTCAGGTAACAGGACAATGGCATCCATGTGCTTACTACCATTGGAAAGAGCCAGTGGAATGAACCTGACGCTCAGCCCACAGATCTTATATCCACATAAACTTTTTGTCAAGAATATGTTTTTTGGGGGCACCTGGGTGACTCAGTTGGTTAACTGTCCAACTCTTGGTTTTGGCTCAGGTCATGATCTTAGGATCCTGAGATGGAGCCCTACAGTGGGCTTAGCATGGAGTCTGCTTGTCCCTCCCCCTCTGCTTTACCCCCTATGCTCTCTCTCTTGCTCTCTCTCTAGAATAAATAAATAAGATCTTAAAAAAAAAGAACATATTTTCTTTTCAAACCCAACTCTACTCCTGAAGTACCCGCAACCATGGACAGCACTGTTTAAAATAAAGACATTTACAGTTGGTGAAAATAAGGCAAAAGTGCTACTCCCATATCTCCCCTTGGGCAGTTGAGGGAAAGCACAAATCAGTACACCTTTCCTAAGAACAATTTTGAAATATACATCAAATTTCTTGATTGTTTTCATACCTTAGCTCAATGATTATTCCTGTGCCTAAGAATTATTCCTAAGACAATACACATGGCTGTTTGCAAAATGTGGGTGCCAAAGATGTGTGCCCCTGCAAACATTATTTATAATGTGTTAAGTGAAAACTGGAAACCATCAAAATCCTGAACAACAGAGACGTTTGGCTAAATAATAAATATAATACCTTCATAAAATGGACATTTAGGCACCCATTTTTAATGCTGTGATGGAATAAAAATAAACAAATGGAAAGACATCCATGACATGATTATTTAGTGAAATGGTACACTAGAACACCACTGACCCACAGTCCGTCTGTTATGACCCTATTTCTGTTTAACTGGAGGGAAGCGACAGCCACACTGTTAACAGCCACGCAGGCTTTATGGGTTTTCTTTTCTCGCTGCATTTCCAGGGTTTCAAATTATCTACAAAGGACATGTACAGCTTTGTGTTTCTTTGTATGGTTTTCTCTCATCACCTGCAACTCTGACTTTCCTCTGGCTCCTTCCGAGCCTAGAAGACCAAGCACGGTACACACTCCCAGGACACTGAACAGGTCCATCTCCCTGCCCGAAGGCAAGAGCCAAACCAAGATCACTCACTTTCTCAGCCTCCTACCACAAGCAGCCCACGTGTGCTTATCATAAAGCAAAACGCAAGGAACTACATCACTGATGCATGGACCTACACCAGGGCCTCTGTGGACAAGCAGCTACTGAGAAGTCAGCTGGCTTCCTCCCTGGGGTCAGAAAAGCTTTGGTCTCCCTGAATTGTGCCTTTTATGGCCCTGATGCAATTTTCCTGGGCTTCCACACCCAACTTGCAGAAGCTCAGTCCTGCTGGTGCTCCCGTCAAAAGGAGGCAAAAGACAATGAGCAACTCCACAGCTCAGGCTGTTCTGTGGATGGGTGTATATGGTGGTAAAATAAACAGTGCCCTGGCCGACCAAGTTTAGGCCCAGTGCTGGGATGCGACCCAATTCCCTGGGATTCCTTTGGGACAGGAAGGACTGCCTTGGAATGCTATCTGTTCAGTAATCCAATGGCATGCAACTCCCTAGGTTTCTCTGGAATCGCAATAGTTCCCAGAATAAAAGGGGAAAAAAAAAAGAAAAAGAAAGACAGAAAGAAAACAGAGACCAACAAACAAAGGAAACCACCCCAACAGCTTGCCTCATCTTAAGATAGGACTTGGTCAAGATGCAGTACAGACCAGCTAACAGTAAATACCACTGAAGCCCACGAGTTTCTCAAGAACTGCAGGTCCCATTATCTCTCTCTCTCGGGGATGCTGGGCCCCATTCCCACTGTTCTGCCTCACTCTCTTCCTGCTCCTGCCTCAAGCCCCAGTTAGAATTTCTGAAATAACGTCTGGCCCATGTCCACACATATCCCAGGTTCTGGCCCAGAGATTCCCCACCCACTGCACCCCCAGCCCCGGCTATCATAGGACAAGCGAGGCCAGCTGTTTTCCTGGCCCCGAGCCTCGTGAATCTTCCCTAGGCACTTGCAGCGAGCTGCCAGGGTGCTCGCCACACCTGCTCTCCTCAGGTCCTGGCAGGCAGCACATCTGTACACTCAAGTGAGAGATGTGTACAAGCTGTCACCAGAGAGCACAGGGGTTGACATGTGAGCGAGAAAGTCACTTGTTGGGGCCAGGAGTGTGGAAGGGCAGGCGACTCACTGATCATGGTGGTGCCTCCCGCTAAGGCGGCCTTCGTCCCTTGGAAGAAGTCATCCACTGTGGTCATCCCCTTGTGTGGCATCTGGAAATGGGTGTGGACATCAATGCCTCCTGGGATCACCATCTTCCCGTTGGCTTCGATGGTCTTCACTCCTCCAGGGACAATCAGATTGTCTCCAATTTGCCTGGTGAGACAGAGAACAACTTTGAAGACAAACATAGTTTCAGACACTGCAACTCATATTTATCAGCGTGGTCTTTGCAAGTGATTCACAAGCTTAACAATCTAGAAGCAAATACAGACAAGTGTACATCCAGAAAACAACTTATATAGACACAAAATGTGCTGGTCTGCTGTTTGGCGGAACCGTGTGTCCTGGCTTGGTACTACAACCTCCGGGGTCGGACAAGGTCTACAATATAGGGTGTGTAAGAAATACTTTTTCAAAAATAGGTGTTTAAAAAAAAAAAAATAGGTGTTTTTGTTATGGCTTTATTTTGTTCTTTATCTTAGTAAAGGCTGAAGAGTAACATTTGGGAAAGGATTCAGAGAGCGTAAAATAATGAACCATCAGGAGAGACCGAAGGAGGTAATGAATCCTTTAAAGAACACGTATGGGAACTTAGCTATCCCCTAAGTGAGTCCATCTGTGTTCCTAACAAGAGGCATCTGCATGGGTCACTTTGCACCTCAGTCTTCACTCCCAATTGCACCCTTCCCTGATAATTGATCTGTCAATCACAGCCAAAGGCAGATTCAAAGGAGGAAGCCAAAGAGGCAGATGCCCAGCTGGCAGGCACCTCGGCAGAAGTAACAAGCCAAGGAAGAGGATGGTGACAACCTCTACCAGACACACCTGTGCCCAAGAAGCTTCAGCGCATCCCCAGAAGGAAGAAAGGGGGACTCAGGTGAGGAGGAAGCTGACGAGTACTCCAGAGACACACTACCTACACAAGGCAAGTGACGAAGACAACTACTCCTGGCAAAATGTTTTGTTACCTTCGAGACTATCTGATGTTGCTTGGCTTCTATGCGACTTCACACCCTCGATCTAAATGGCCAGTTAATTTTGGTTAGACAAGATGCACAAGCATCCTGTCCTGGTTGGGGAGACATGGACCCCACGACCAGGGGTGTGAACATGTTCCCCTTTTGTTCACAGTCAGCCAAGACAGACACCCTCTGGGGACAATAAGTCTACCATTGGTCCTCCAAAATCTAAGTCTTGCAACTCAAATAAAGTATTCTTGACATCTCTAAGAATTCAACCTCACCACATCCCCACTGGGCCATTCCAGAGTCACCACAATTCAAAACACGCTGTGGAAAAAAATGTAGCCTCTGACGATACCTCCATTATAGTCCAGATACTGGCCGCTATGTTCTCATTTTTCTCTCTCCCTCCTCTTTGTCTGAGGTATATTGAGAACCAAGGGTAAAAAGAGTTAGTAGCCCTCACCGCGCATGTGTATATGCTGTGTGTTTCCACCAGTTTTGAAAACTAGTGGAATACCATGTCTTCAACAGAAATGCCTTCCTAATTTTTCTCCACTGAGCCACTCAAGATCATAGTAATCCTTAAAGGTTTGGTTCCCACCTCCCTTCCTTGGTCAAATCCCTACTGACAGCCAGGTCTAATAATTAAGAGTACAGATCTACCCTGGAGGCAGACTGAGTTCACAATCCCTGCTAGTTATTAGCTTCATGACCTTGGCCAAGTTACTTTACCTCATCATGTCTTAATTCCTTCAACTGTAGAATGTAATAAAAATGTTTCCTCCATAGGTTTGTCATATAGATTAAGTTTTAGTATGTCAGGCCCACAGAAGGCTGTTAGGCACGGCACAGGAGAATCCGAAAAGCATCAGCTATGATAATTAATAACCATACTAACCCCACATGGCATCCGCCTTCCCTATGAATCTCATCTATTCTCCTACTTTAATACTAGATACTGATATTATCTGGTAATGTTATACCCTTTGATAAACACAGATATCTCAGTTCCCCTAAAAAACTGTAAGGTCCCAGACATCTGGGTGGCTCGGTGGTTGAGTGTCTGCCTTCGGTTCAGGTCGTGATCCCGGGGTCCTGGGATCGAGTCCCACATGAGGCTCCCCACAGGGAGCCTGCTTCTCCCTCAGCTTATGTCTCTGCCTCTCTCTGTGTCTCTCATGAATAAAAAAATAAATCTTTAAACCAAGACTGTAAGGTCCCTGGGGGAAGATGTGGGTCCCAGTGATAGCCACCATAGCATGTGGCATAGCATGGGTCCCATGCCTTAAACAATCACCTTGCACACAACAGGCACTCCATAAATATTCACAGATATTCAAACAGCAATCTGACAATCAGGGGGAATTATTTCTGTGTTTATGCTCTGTTAATTCAGGATGTTTTTGAAGATATATAAAATGTCAGGATTAGATGAAGATCATTTTAATATACCCTTTTCTCCACCACCAACGCACACATCTGATGGTTACATCCCTTCTATAGCATCCTTGGCAAGCGGCCTTCTCGTCTATTCTAATAGAGATGGCAAAAAGGATTTACACAGTTAACTCTGGTAGTAGATGCCTGACTCACTATGTGAGGATCGATTCTGAGCCTGTATTTAAGACTCAATTGTGAAAAGGGCTGTGATCAATTAGTGACGCCCATCATGAGTTCTGAAATGAGGAAGAAGCATTAGGTACTACTCTCTTCCACCGTCTCTGAAAATCTCTAAATGAGGGAACTTGCTATCTCCAAAGAGAGCCGACTATATACGATAATTTTTTTAGTACGAGAAAAATATAAGATTACTTGGGGCTTATTTTTGAAGAAATTATTGTTTCTAATTAATTAATTGTTAATTATTGGTTAGTTTGCCCACTATTTCCATTTTGCCTATTTCTAATATGAAACGGTGTTTATGTAGGTAAGACAACTAAACTAGAAGATGTTCATTCACGCATGTTTATTTGTTCATTCATTCAATGTATTTGATTAATGTGTTGATCATTAGCAAGTTACTTCCTCTCTGTGTTCCTTTTTGTCCTCATCTGAGAAAAGGGTAGTAATAGTACTTACTTCATGGAATTGCCCATGAAATAAATGAAATTACGCATGTAAAACATTTAACAGTGCCTGGCGCATACTGCACAGTCAATGAAAGGTAGTTCTTCTTAAAAGTCTCTCCATGCTAAGTACTGGGTTAAGTGCTTGGATATGGAGATGAACAAGGTAGGGTCCTTGCCTGCAGAGAGCCTAACAGGGTCAGAACGGCTGTTGACTCATAAAAGCACAAGGTGTTTTGAAGGCTCATAGAAGGGAAAGCAGCCTAGATTTGGGGACTGACAAGGAACACCCACCTACAGAGTTATATCTAAGCCAAGTCTTCAAAGATAAGGAAGAGATCCACTATATCCAATGAGTTTAAATAATGTAATAATAAAATTGAACAAGGCCAGGGATGGTTAACAGGATGAACTGCATACATCAATCTTCTACAATATCTGTTCAGTGCAGAGACATAACTCATTCTACGTGATGAAAAGTTATGTGTAGACCAAATCCTCTTTTACAGGTCACTATGTAGGGAACCTGCACAAAAATGTAACCTGATTGCACAGTTTCCAGGCTCCCAAAAGCAAATCATTTTAAAAGATAGGTATACATCTCTAAAGTACCTATTTGATTTTTTTTTTAATTTTTATTTATTTATGATAGTCACACACACAGAGAGAGAGAGAGGCAGAGACACAGGCAGAGGGAGAAGCAGGCTCCATGCACCGGGAGCCCGAGGTGGGATTCGATCCTGGGTCTCCAGGATTGCGCCCTGGGCCAAAGGCAGGCGCCAAACCGCTGTGCCACCCAGGGATCCCTAAAGTACCTGTTTGAAAATCTTGTCTGAGATATATGTCTTCTCTGTGTTCTGCCCAACTAAACTCCATGTAAGTTAAGGATCAGTTCAAATGGCCTCTCCAGCCCCAAACCATCCTCTGATGGGATTTCTCCTTTCTGTGCACTTCTACATCACTTATCCTCACTTGAATTCCTGTGATACCAAATGTACGAGCCTTATGTTTATATGGAGCTGTAACTATGTGCACACCTTTTCAATAAACTTAAGGACAATAGTCATATCTTCCACTTCTCTAAGATGCATAGGGCGCCCCATTAGTGTCCTTTGCACAAAGAGGCCTGCAGCATCATTTGGTTGACTGAATTTAGATTTTTCACTTCGTTCACAAGATGCGAATAAATTAAGGCTAGCTCCCATTTTAAGGGATTATGTGCAACCAGAACGAAGGGTTAAAATAAAGATCCACTTTGGGGCTCCTGGATCCAACTCTTGGTTTCAGCTCAGGTCATGATCTCAGGGGCCTGAGATGGAGCCCCACATCAGTCTCCACGCTCTGCAAGACGTTTGTCTGAAGATTCTCTCCCCCTTCCTCTGCCCCTTTCTTCACTTACTCACTCTCTCTAAAATAATTATAAATCTTTTAAAAAATAGACTCATTTTTTTAACGAGAAGAAGAAATAAAAACACAGGGAACCAAAGGTCTAGGCAAGTTTCTTTCTGAGCCTCTCAGGAAGAAAGGAAGTACAAAAAAAATAAAGATACGGTTCTATATACTTACTTTATTAAACCATCTTCCATGTAAATATCAGCATAAAAGGATTGATCATCATTGACGATTCTACCGCCCTTGATAAGGAGACGGTCACTCTAGAAAAGAAGGCAAACATAAGTCATTCTCACAGCTAGGAATTCAGAGAAGAGGGGGTCTGCAAAAGTTTTCCCAGTTCACCGGTCTAGAGGTCTAGTAGGAACACAGTGACTTAAGACATCTGTGTGCTCAATGCACTCAGTGTTTGAATTGGGTATATTTGTCAGGGATCCAGTCTTTGACATTTGCCCCAGATTCAAATTATTCTAGAGCTTCACCTCTTGCGTCTGCAACCTACCTAGCCACTCAGAAACATAGCTACTTGAGGGAAGACACTCTTGTGTTATCTTTTCTGGCTCAGTAAGCAGTAAATATTGAAAGTAGTATATAACTTATACCTCAGTATCTTGTATCCTGTTGGCACTCAACAGTGATTCTCAAAAATAGAACCTGGGATCAGACATACAATGAAATAGCCTCTGAAAGTCTTTATAATGACATGAGGATCATGCTATATTTAAAATTCAGGATTCTTACACAGGTATGCAAACATTGCACACAAGCTTATAGAATGTACAGGAAAAGCGCTGAATGGAAAAAAGACAAAATAGCTATAGTATCCTATAGATCTCTAGTCTTTAACCCGGGTGGAGAAATTATGCAGGATTCACATTTGCTTCATTAAACTCTCACATTTTCTGAGATGTGTCTGTTGCCTATTATGAAAAAATGTTTTTTTATAATTAAAGTCTTTTTTAAAAGTTATAACTTAGAAGAAGTTTGGATAAGTGATCCAACTGGAAATGATGCACATACAGTCCAAGGTAATTAAGGAAATATAGACATATAGCTCCTATATGTCAGTAGAGGAACCAACCAGTGTCAGCTTTCAATATCACAGATTTCATTAAAAGAATGAATGGAGGGCCCCTGGCTGGCTCAGTCAGTTAACCTTCTGCCTTCAGCTCAGGTCATGATCTCAGAGTCCTGGGATCAAGCCCCACATCAGGCTCCCTGCTCAATGGGGAGCGTGCTTCTCCCTCTACCCCTCCTCCCTGCTTGTGATCTCTCTCTCTCACTTCCTCTCTTTTAGATAGATAGATAGATAGATAGATAGATAGATAGATAGATAGAGACAGATAGGTAGCTTTGCTGGGGTCCTGACGGCGAAGAGAAATCTCAGGAGCCTGGCTGAATGGAAAAGCTTGAAGAGAGAATGGTACATTGCATTTTGTTATGAATTCAACTTACAGACTTCAATTCTATCCACCCACCCACCCACCCATCCATCCATTGTTCATCTATCCACTCATCCAGCAAGTAATTATTTAATATGTATGACTAAATACATAGAGAGGATCCAGTAGTTGTCATTGCATGTCATTGCTTTTATGAAACCTAAGGGGATATCTGGCAATAAAGAAAAAAGAAAAAAGAAAGAAAAAAGAAAATCAACAAAAATAAATAATACAACGTAAAATTGTATCAAGTGTCACAAAACATAGGTGAGCGGGCTTGTTTAAACCGAGGTGAAAAGAGGCCTTTGCAGGGATGATCAAAGAGATGGGGTGGGAATGGAGAGCTGCAGGCAGAGGGGATAGCATGTGCAGAGGCCCTGTGGTAGAAAGAAGTTTTGTTTCTTTGAAAACCGGAAAAAGATCAGTGTCGAGATGGGGAGCTTAGGGATCAAGAAGGAAAGTGGCAGAGATGAAGTTGGCAAGGCAGTTGAACTGGCTTTCACAAAGAACATCAGTTTAATGGGGAAGGAAGTCTATGAATAAATAGGCTGATTTCTGGCCTCGGAAATAAAAGGGTATGAACCAGGCCAGAAAATGAGATTTGAGGCTAGGCATCCATATGGGATACAGCTTAGTGCCACTTAGCTGCTCCCATGTTCAAGGTACTACAGGAGAGCAGGAAATTGCATCATGTCATACTGTCGGGGGAGAGGATCTGAAAGACACACGGATCAAGGAGGCACCCAGGAAAACACCCACCTCTGCCGCAAGGAAAATGTACAAATGAGATCAAATGTAAATTCCCACCATGCATGATCCACAAGGCCTCCCTGATCTGGCGCTCGTCTCTATGTCCATCCTCATTTCCATCACATATAGCCTCGTGTGTCATTCCATAGCAAATTCAGAAACATGCAGCAGGCTCTCTGGCCACTAAGCCTTTGCAAAAAAGTTCCCTCTGCCTTCTTGCCATGTTCACGTGGCTTTTGACAACCACCCTCTCCTCTGTCAAGCCTCGAATCGAAGTGTTTCTCCTGCAGGACGCATTACCTGACTTGCCAGCAAGTTTCACCTACTCCGCTTGCAATTTTGCTCAAACAACCCCATTGTCTACAACAACTGCTGTTTACCAGAACCTGGTGCTTCAGGGGGTTCCACTGTTCCACTGTCTCCTGACTAGACCAAAGACTCCTTTGGTCTTGGGACTATACATCGCTTTGATCTTTCCACCTTTGTTCCTGGAGCTCATCCTAGACAGCTACTGAATACTGGTAAGCCGAATGGGTGAAGGGTGGGACGTAGGTTGCATCATGTCATTATGACGGAAAGGCCATTTGAGTCACAAAATTATGTGATGTGGCCAGAAAGTTGGACTACTGTTTTAAGAGTAATTGCAAAATTATATAAGGCAGTCCCAGGACTGTGCTTCCCAAACTAGGGTGTGCACATTAAAAGAATATAGAGTCCCAGGCCCTGCTCTAGGCCACTAAATCTGAATTTTATAAACCCCACAAATGGTTCTCATGCAGATCATCAACCAGCCCAGCACCAAGTCAGAGACCAGCACTGGAACTCATGGTGCTGTGTGTCCAAGGCACAGTTCTGTGTGTCTAGAGAGATAGGAGAAGCATCTCGAAAAGAAGCTTTGTAGTAATAGTCTTGGTAACTATAAGGTTTGCCTCTAATAGCTCAGTGCTCTTCTGACATTCTTTATCTTCCTAGCAAAGAACTGAAGTAAACTTTTTGGAAAGGGGCCAGCTAGCACCTGTAGTGAGCCCTGGTATGAAATATGACCACTCTCCTGTCTAGGGAACATCTAGCCTAGGGAACCAACTGACATGATCATTACTTCCTTCAACAAGCATCAAATATCAGCAGAGGGGCAAAAGCTATCTCAGGCCCATGGTGCCTCAGGGAATACTAACGAGTGATCCAAGTGGAATTAACACCATTGCGACGGCATCATTGGAAACTCTTCAAATGCTAATTCGATATATCTTCTCTGGCTCAATAATCAGGAATCAAAATAGATAGAGCACAGAGATGAAATACAGGCCGGTGGAAGTTTCAGAGATGGGAGAAACAAGACTCCTGCTCTTTGGACTGCTATGGTATCAATATTATTTCTTTTCATCATGCAGACCAGAGATATCCAAACCTCAATTCACAGAGCTCAAACACATGCTGCCCCTGGAGCTCCCCAGCCTATTCCCTACCTTCTGTTAAAGCGATTCATCAAATGACTTCATTAATTTTAACTCTTTCCATGGATGTGGGATCCACTAACAAAGGGTAGCCTAGGCAAACTGTCATTGGACACAGGAAAGTCTGAAAGGCAAGCCTTGAATTTGGCCTTGACAAACAGCAGAACCACTGACCACCCTCAGGTTACATAAAACCAAACCTTAATGGTTACCAAACATGCTTGTCTGTGAGTTCACAGACCAGATGAACACATGCGAGGGTTGAAAACTAGCAAGACAAACAAATCTGCCATCTATGATTAAAAGTCATCCTGCATGATGTTACAAAGGACTGGTGAATGTGGTGGCCCAGCAGGGCTCTTCACTTTCTGTTCCCAGCAGCTGATGGTGTCAAGCATCTGTGAGCTGATGCCCAAAGAGGTGAAATGGTCTAGTTTGGACATCTACCAAGGCTTCTCATGGGATGATATAGACAAAGAATGATGATATTTCTAGAGCACACTGGGATTATCTAGAACCCAAAATAAAGATATGGAGAGCCTAAAATAACCAAGGACTCTGACTGCCTTGGGCCCTGCCCTGTTGCCCAGGGTTGAGGATGGGAGGTCTGGAAGGCTAGTGGGGTGCCCAGGCATACCAGCAGGCCAGGTTGGGTCCAGCTGGCTTCTCCCTGGATGGGAGAATCAGGTCAACCACTTAACGAACTGTGTGATCTTGAATTAGGACTTAACCCCTCAGAACTTCAGTTTTTATTAGCTCAGAGTGGATAATAATACCTAGCTCACCTCACAATGGGGCTGCCAGGAATAAATGAGGGAGAGAGAGTGTGTGTGAGCTCACACACACATGCACATATCAAATAACCAGCACATAGTAAACACTTTTATATATTAGTTATATTGATTCCATTCATATTATTTACAGCACTTGAAAATATTTTTTAAAAGATTTAAATTACAAAGTATATTAGAGAGAGATGGTCCCCATTTTCCAAATGGAGAGATAGGCACAAAGGCGAGCGACTTTCTCTAAGCAACAGAGTTGATTAGTTCCACTGGGAAGCAAATCCTGGTCTCTACCTCTGGGCACTGGACAGATTTCCACCTGAGGCCACTGAAGCACTTATCCTTAAACCTTATGACAAGGGGCTCTTTCTGACAGGGCTCTCCTTACTGTTTGCTATTAAATCTGACTGTTCCAGGGCTCAAACTGATGACCAGATGGCTATAGCAGGTAACTTTAGGAATCCAACAACTCTGAAGCCACGACTTATAAAAGCACTGCATTAAACCTGCCCCTTATGGCCAGAGTGTGTTCATGCAGCTTATAAAAGGATGTAACATACAATCCAGGGTAGCACCAGCCCTTCAAGTCTGACAGAGTCCAATCTTTTTTCCTCACTAATGTATGGTAATGATCAGAAAAAAAAAAAAACATAAAAAATTTGGAGTTTGTTAGAAAAAGGGAGAGAAGAGAGACAGAGAAAAAGAAGAAAGGAAAGAGTGAGAGGGAGGGAAGGAAAGGAAGGGGGGAGAGGAAGGAGAAAATAAACTCTGTAAGGAGGTGTGTAGTTAAAAACAGCTGCGTTCTGGGTGGCTCAGTCAGTTTAGAGTCCAA